GTGATTTTCTTTTGTGCACAGGCAAGAGCAAATTTTAAGTGAATTTCAGACAAGTTTAATTTTTTAGAATACAAACCACACTCTGGATTAAAAAAAATTAACAAGAGGCGCTTTTCTAGTGTCCTTTTAATCAAAATGGGAAGGCAAGTGATGTTTTACAAAGTTCTTCTGGTGCTAGACTGATTTCCGAGCTAAATGAAAATGAGACATATAGACCCCAGTTAGGCAGACTGAAGATCCCGCATAACTCTTTTTGATAATTGAATCCAGAAAACTATTCTCATCATATTTTCAGTAACAAAAACTAAAAGGAAAAGAAAACTCGACCGTAATGCAAACAACAATAACTGAATGGAGAAAGATCAGAAATTGCACAAGGCAGGGGAGGCATAGCTTACAAAGTCCCGACAACTCTTCTGGTGTTTGCTACATTCTGCTTTTCTGAGAAAATCCTTGCCATGCCGAAATCCGATATCTTGGCAACCATGTCGATGTCCAGCAACACATTGCTTGGCTTTAGATCTCTATGGATGATCTTCGGCACGGAATCCTCATGAAGATAAAGCAGTCCTCTGGCAATCCCATCAATTATGTTGTAGCGTGCTCTCCAATCAAGTTGTGATCTCTTCATCGGGTCTGAAAAGCAGTAGGTGACACAATTTTCATTGAATGTGTAAAGATAATAGGAGTGTGGTCCACTTGTGAGAGAAAACAGACTGTACGAGGACTAACCAGAGAGGAAGACATCGAGGCTTTTGTTGGCCATGTATTCATATATGAGGAGCTTCTCATGTCCATCTATGCCCCACCCCAAAAGCCTCACGAGATTTTTGTGTTTTAGTTTTGCAATCAGCTTGATTTCGTTTTTAAACTCTTCTACACCCTGCCATGACTTCCTCGACAGCCTCTTTACTGCTATTTCGTTTCCATCTGGTAGAATTCCCTGGAACAACTTAAACAATAGTCATCAGTTTATGTTTTTCAGGGAAACTCTCCAACCAAATTGAATATGATCCAATCAAATGTTTAACCTTGTAAACAATGCCGAACCCGCCTTGTCCGAGCTTGTTTGTAAGGCAAAAGTTAACCGTGGCAGCCCTCAGTGTTGCCAAATTCATGACAAGCATATCATCAGAAAATTCTAGATCCCGTTTTGAAATCGATAGCTCAATGGGCTTCGCCAATTCCTGTAGCAATGCATTCTCATCTTTCTCTTCATCTGGGAAACCCAAAAGAAAAAAAAGATCCGAATTATTGTGATTAACAGTGTTCGAGATATCAGTTGGTGACTGAAACTAACGTGTTTAATATACCTCTGGTCGTTATCTTTTTTGTCTTCGAAAGGCAACACAAACCCCAAGGGAAAGTAGCAATGCCCCTGCCAGAATACCCAAGACCAACGAAATCATCCTTGCCTTCTCCAAACCTACAATGTCACCATCAAATAATGAACAAACATTCAAAATCCAATTTCCAACTCCCGCAGAGAGAACTCAAGAAGTCAGCCAGGCAATTTTACTGCCTGCGAAAATAATAAAAACAGCTAGGATCGGCTCAAGAATCACGATGTCCAACAAGGCTGCTCATCAAGCCGACTAATAAAGAATAACAAAATGTTTTGGAATCCAGTCAGGTCAATGAAATGCTTTATGACAGCTGGTCGATCATCAGGTCGATCCAATCCCTCTGTTTTCATAAGAAACTCTTTTGTAAAAGTTTTCTGCGTGGAAAAATATATATCTTGCATATTTTGTACTTAATGTACTATAAGTAGATGAATTCTGGTACATCCTTTCTATGGATAAAACTCAATACGAGAACTTTCGTCTGAAAAGTTATTACTTAGATTGAATCACTTGGAAAAAAAGGATTTCCTCGTGCATAGCTGATTTTACTATCCTTACTTAGATGACCGAGCTTCAGTACCGCTCAGTCCTTGCGAACAGTTCTGTTTTTCCCCTAACAGTATACTCATGGTTAGTTGTAAACTTTTAACTAGACTTGGATACTATGATTTGTGCAATTCTTCCTCTGGCTGTTTCCATAGAACTCTCAAACCGGGAAGATTACACAAAAAACTTTTTATGGCAATTTCCCAGGTCTCATTTCTAATTTCTGCTGGCATCAATACTCCGTGACCAACAACACAGTCTAAGCAAAGAATCCAAATTAATTACCTTTAGAATGCAGATTATAGAAGCGGTAAAGCTCGAACCTCACATTGCAATATCTGCTGACAACCATTCCACCTTGATGAGGAGAGCAACATGTTGTCAGATCCCCCAAGGCTGACCTCAAACAGGTATCACAATCATCCCAAGTGATTCCTTTTGTACACTGCACGAGGCCATAAACATGTTTTTGGCTCGAGAATTTTGAACTGCCCACCGCAAACCTCAATGAAGCGAATGCGGCCTCACTTTTAAGATCATTCATCAATTTTTTCAGGGCGGTGCTCTGCTCATCCGGATTCGATACGTTCTCCTGACTATTACTTTCTGGGTACTTTCCTTGGTAAGTCATCGCGGAGAAAAAATCATTATATGAATAAGATATTTGGCAATAATCATACCAAATATCAGCATCTGTCTTGTTGCACCGGCTCATTATCTCTTGGCTTGCAGTCCTGATGCAATCCCCACAAACACTCCTATCCACATCATGCCTGCAAAGTGCTTGACCAAATACTTGATCAGTGCCATCCCCAGCAGAATGGCTGCTGAAGCCTGTCTTAGCAGTGCTAGAAGCCAAAATGCGCAGAAGCTGTTCGAGGTTATTCCTGCCAAAAGTGTAATTGTCTTTTTCAGGTGGGCAAAGCACGTGCAGAGGATTGTTTCCATTAATGGGTGTGACAAGAAACAAAATTGATGCCACGAATACGAAAAAGGTGACAAGATTCGAATCTCGTGCCATCTTTCAGGGTCGAAACTGTATTCTAGACCAGTGAAGAGGCACTAACTGGGAATGATTTCCATAAACGGTGAGGGAAGAAGTTTTCTCTAATGTTGAAAGGTCCATGGCATGGATACAATTCAACACAGTGAAGGTGGGCGGAGAATCTTCAAGTCGGTCAAGAGTAGAATTATTATAAAATTGCAGCAAAAGAGAAAGGTCATTTGTCTGCCTTTTCTTCCATGAAAGCCAAGAGAAACTTCACTGTAGCATCGTGAAATTGACTTGAGATGAAAGGCTTAGAAGACCCAAGAATATTTCATTTTCTGGAAATGGAATCAGACCAACAGGATAAGACCTTTTAGTTATGGTTTAATATCACGAAAAATCCTGTAAAGATATACCCGTAACAAATTTACCCCAAATTAATTTTTAGATCATCAAAAACTCCAAACCGGTACGCCTGTGATAATTTTACCCTCCGTTAATTTCCGTTAAATTTTATCGTCAAATTTATGAATTTGATTACACGTGATAGTTGACGGGTGTACTGTTTGGGGTTTTACCCTCCGTTTGTCGCAAGTGCACGAGTTTGTGATTTTTGGTGATAATAATTCAATTTAACGGAGAGTAAATTTGTCACAAATGTACCAGTTTTGGGTTTTTAGTAGTCAAAAAATTAATTTGGGATAAATTTGTCACATATGTACCAGTTTGGGATTTTTTGTAGTCAAAAAATTAATTTGGGGTAAATTTGTCACATGTGTATCAATTTAGGGTTTTTCGTAGTATTGACCCTTTATTTCTTTTATTCATTTTTATTTCAGCCTTCCCCTCCAACGTCAAAGAACATTATCCAAATTCATCTTGTTACATGTTAAAATCAAATTAGTTAGAAAAACTTCGGATTATACAGAAACCCGTCATTGTTCTTTGGCTTTACGTGAGTCCACAGGATCTGGGTTTGGCGAAGCCGGCAATTGAAGCCAACGAAAAGGCGATGTTTCTTTGAAATGGTATTTTAGTGTAGATGCTTTTTCAGAGATGATGGGCTGGAATTTAAGACTTTTTAACTCGCTTGACTTCGTTCCACTCGAAGGAGAGTCATATGAAATGTTCAGAAACTTCGTGTGCATCGACCCCTGTTTTTGGTCATATTCTTTACTTCTGTCCACTGGGAGGGGTCATTCCATTTGAATTTGACTCTTCGGCATGAGTTATAACCTGCACGACAATAATATTTTTGTTCAAGCGTGACGGCTCAAGTCCATGGATAGGAGTGCCTCAATGTTCAACTTGGAAATATGTATCGTCCACGGTCAGGACACGGGCCCGGACGGGCTGCGGGGCACGCTAGCCCCTCGAAGTTCAACCTAAGTTGCTGTGTGCAATAACAGCAAAAAAGTGTCAGCCGGTATTAAAATACAGCAAAGTGAAGCGTTGTGCGCGACTCTTTTGTCAACTCTGGTTTAATTACTTGGGATTCACGTGATTTATGATTGTTTCGCACGATGTCTTTCGTGGAGTTTGGTTGTATATATTATTGCTTTATAAAGTATATGTTAAATATGGCTTGAATTTTATGTACTCGGTCCAGTTCATCACCCGATCCGACATATTTTTTGTGCGATTCAAAAGTGAAGGAAAAAATTGAGATTTAGTTCGTAGCCCCCGAGGAAATTTTTTGGGGAGCCCTATTTATACTGCAACTAAGTTTTTTTTTTCATAATTAAGAGAGATTTTCGTTTTGGGAGAGATTATGAGCCGTGAGGTTTTGTTAAGTCGTTTTTTCGACTTCTGAAAACTATACTCTCTTTTATTATAGTGGAATCTTGTTTTGCCTTGCCCGTGGACGTAAATCACCTTGTGATCGAACCACGTGAATTCTTGTGTTCTGTATTTGTTTTTCCACAGTTGTTTCCAATGGTATATAACGACCTCCTCTTCATGTGGAATTTGAGCGGTCGCATTATTAAACTGGTTGATGCGCAAGTCTGGTTGGCCCTCATCAATATCTTAGTAATGGAAATAGCACCATATCAAGTAACAGCACACAGACCGAAAAAAAGAAAGTAACAGCATCAAATCCACCATTCACAACCAAACAATGAGGAAGAACATGGATTCATATTAGGAGCTTTTATTTCCGGCTCAAGAGCCATGAAAATCAACAAGGAAGGTTGGAAAATGATAAGGTCCTCGACGTGTCGATGTCTCTCGAGCCGAGATGGACATCTCACAAAATTAAACAGCTTATGGTTGAGAATCGGTTGTTTAGCGAATAACTAGTGTACAAGTTACCATGTCCAAGCAGTACACTTGTACAAAGAACAATGTTTATCTCCTAGGGTAGACTTTTCTCACCGAGGTGCCACAGTGGAAACCGTCAAGCCATTAACGGAATAATCACTGTCGTCAACACCTCCATCGGACCAATGAGTGAATCCACTGACCGAGAAGGCGGGTTTAAAAGGTTGACGGAGAATTACAGCATCCATTTTGAGCATCACATTGACAGCCGACGTGGTCAGCCGGTCGAACGCGTCTTCTTGAACGCACAAAAGTCCGACATGGACACATTTCATGAATTCTTCAGGACAACACTTGTTGTGCAGCAATGGATCCATCAACTCCATTGCTCTTCCTTCATTCCATAATTGCCATGCCTGCAATAAAGTTATGTCATCCCATCATTTCTAATGCTAAACGCCAACCAGGAATTACGAAAGAAAAAGGATGCAACGGACCAACATGTTGCGCAATGCAACTAGTAATATTCATCAATATGCACAAAAACAGCAACCGATGCCATGACCGAGGTATGAGAGAACAAGCATAAGCAAAAATTAGAGATTTACGAGTCTAATGCCATAGCACATTTGTTGTATTTTACTGTCTGATCTTCCAAATTTTCTGTCATTGTGACCTCAAAACATTTCTCATATAGGATTCTTTTCGAATTTATTAAGTCTTAATTACGTGAATGGTGTGAAAGCCGGAGGTGTAATCGAGTTATAACATACATAGGCTAGCAAACTCGAGGCACGTCTTGACTGACAAAAGCCGGCATTTCTCTCCCCTGTTATTATCTCAAGCAGGAGAACTCCAAAGCTGTAGACATCCGATTTTATGGAATATAACCCCTCCATTGCATACTCCGGCGCCATGTAACCACTAGGGAGAGAATAAAATGTCAGCTTGTGGCAAAATGAAGCAACATAGAGTCCAAGCTAAAAGTGCCGAGATTTATATCACTTCAAAGAACTCTCGAACATCATTTAAGTCCTGTGAAGGAAACTGTACTTACTAGGTTCCAACTAGTGTAGCAGTATTTGCTTCATTTTCTGTTCCTGCAAAGATCCTTGCCAGTCCAAAGTCAGAGATTTTTGGGTTCATGTCGCAATCCAATAATACATTGCTTGCTTTGAGGTCTCTGTGGATGATTCTTTGACGAGAATCCTCATGAAGATATAGCAGACCTCGAGCGATGCCGATGATTATGTTCAGACGTCTGCTCCAACTCAGCTCGATCCTTCTCTGTGCGTCTATACCAAAAAAAGAAGTTACCAAATGTCAGATAAATATGATATTTAGCATGTTATTCACGAGACCCTGCAGGACTGGTGTATACCGAAGAGAAAGACATCAAGACTTCTATTTGGCATATACTCATAGACAAGCAACTTCTCCTCTCGTTCTGCGCAAAATCCAAGAAGCCTGACAAGGTTCTTATGTTGAAGTTTCATTATGAGTAGGACTTCGTTTCTGAATTCTTCGGAACCCTTCTCTGACCAGCTCTCTAGCCTCTTCACCGCAACTTCTCTCCCATCCCATAAAAATACCCTTTCAATAAAAAACAAGAAACTACTTAACAAAATCCAGAAAAGCAAGAGTATCTATTTAAAATTCGGCAACCAACACTTTTTTTTAATTGAACTATTGCCACCTTGTAAACTGGACCGAATCCACCTTGTCCTAGTTTTAGTGTATCTGAGAAGTTGTCAGTAGCCGCAAGTATGCATCTCATATCAAAATATGGATGATCTTGAATTTCAGTCAGAGTATTTCCTGGGATGTATCGCAATGGAAGAATACCATGAGCAGAATCACCAGTAACCAGAGGTTGATCCTGTTTATCTGCGAGGTCTTTCTTCCCTGGAATCAAACATGATGAGTCTCAAATATATTGGAATTTGGGGAGGGCACATAAATCACCATTAGGATAAAGATTGTTACTTTTGATGACGATGAAGAAAATCCAGGAGCACAAACTGATTGCCGCCAAGCAGAGCAATGAAATTGTGAGAACTTTGATCAGCCACTTTTTCCCTGCTTTTGACAAGAAATAGTTGCAGCCTCTTCAAAGATTCAATCAGTTCTAATATTAACAACTACAGACTTCGTGAGGAGAAGAACAATTACAGGTAAAAATTTTTGGCATAACCTTACCAGACTTCTTCACCGGCTCGTTTGTTCCATAGAAATCATATAACTCATATCGCAAGTAGCAACTCGGACTTAGAACTCTTGCTCCGAGCGAAAAATAGCAGCAATCTTTCACATGTCTTGTTGCTTCTTGGAGGCACTTGCGACAATCATCTGCTGTTAAGTTCTGAGTGCACTGAACAAGAGCATATAAAGTCTGGTTTGTGCCCAATTCAAATTCCTTTTCCTTAGTAGCATAGTAAGTCCCTGGAGACTCAAGAACTGCTTTCCGGGCAAGAAAACTTAAAGTTTCATCTACCACTGACCGGAACTTGCCAGGGTCAGATATATTTTTCGGATTGAACTGATGTTTGTATATTTCAAACAGACGGCCGAAAAATTTTTGGTCGGATATACGCAACTGGCAAGAATCCTCCCAAACGACGGCTTCCATCTTGTTTGGACAAAGCTCCAGGATGTCTTCTGATCCCTTGACTATGCAACTTTGGCATGTTGAATTGGGGACATAGTTGAAGCACATGTATTGACCATAAACTTTATTTGGGGAGTTCCCAGACGAGTCCTCGAAGAACTTGGAGGAAGAAGCGTTCTTTATCATCCAAGAAGTGAGCTCCTGGAGGTTGCCCCGATATGCACTGTTTGTGGCATTTGAACTGTTGTCCGGGCAGTGCTTTTCGGGGATATCAGCCAGAACCGGGTTGTGAAATCCACGAAGAAGACAATGAAAAAAGAGCTGTAGGATGGTTCTTGAGACCACCTGAGAACGAAACAAGGTGATCATTTCTTTAGTGCACTCCAATTCTGAGTAATCACCTCTCCACAGAGTCACTGATGCAAGCCATCAGCAGGATTCCGGAAGAAAGCACATCCTTCACGCTTCATTATTTATTTGGTATCTGAGACTGACATTTGTAAGAAATGAAACAAACCCACCCCACAAAATAGTGGTTACGAAACGGATTTGTGTAGAGATTAGGCGCACAAGTACAGATTCGATACCCTCCCCACAAAAGTACAGCAAATCGGGTCAACGCAAGTATTTTACAATGAAGCCTGATAGAAGACCAAGACTTCCATTCTAGTCGTGAGCGGGATTGGAATGGAAATGCATCTAAGCATCCTATTGGTCGAGTGACTTTGACTCTGACCAATGAAATGGGTCTACTGAAATCAGCATATCCAACCCTTTCCTAAATGACGTGGTTTCCGTGTCCATGTATGTTAAAAGTAGCAACCACAGGAATTAGAGAGATGGGCTCCAAAACAGTTTGCATGGGATTGATGCTAGACTTTGGTTCTCATGTGTGACCCTTTATTGCATGATCTGGTGGTTAATTGGGATTAGAAAATCGCCACATGGAAAGACTCGAGAAAACAAAAGTAGAGGGTATAAATAAGGATTAGTACCACGAAAAATTCCAAACTGGTACACCTGTGATATATTCACCCAAAACTAACTTTTTGACCATCACAAACCTCAAACTAGTACATCCGTGATAAATTTATCCTCCGTTAATTCCTGTTAAATTTTACCGTCAAATTGCTGACCGTCAAATTGCTGAGTTAAATGACGTGTCATAGTTTGCCACAAATGTATCAAGTTGTGATTTTTCGTGATATAAATCCAATTTAACAGAAACCGACGAAGGGTAAATTTATCACAAATGTATCAATTTTGGGTTCTTGGTGGTTAAAACATTAGTTCGAGGTAAATTTGTTATAGGTATACCAGTTTTGGGTTTTTTATGGTCAAAAAATTAGTTTTGAGTAAATCTGTCATATATGTATCAGTTTAGGGTTTTCCATAGTTTTAAACCCTGTCAATGAAGGATAGTTTTAGGAATTCAAAGTCAAGTCGCATATGTAAATTGTTAGGAAGTAGCCCGCCAAGGAAATTTCCTTTCTATACTGTCAATATCAGACCTGTCTTCATCTCTTTTAGTCTACTAATAGAACGTTCTGTCAAGGACAAACTGCATTAGTTGGGGGAATTTTCAATGGCAACTCAATCCAAGGAACTAGTTGAGCTAATTGGCGAAAGTGATGTAATTCAGATATGGCAATCCGGACCTAGCGATTTGAGAAGCAAGATGTCTCGAATTCGAATCCAGTTTGGCATAACCTCTTGATGCCAAGTCGAGAATCCCGTAAGTTTGGGACCGTTGATGACATGGCAATTTGCGATCTTGCTCATTTATCTCTATCTTATGATTAATCGAATCAGGCGGAAAAAGGCTATAAAAAAAGAACAAAAAAAAGAGGATTTAATTGCAAATTGACCATTGGTAAGGGAACAGATTTTTCCCTCCTGCACTTATCTCCATAAGTCCGATGCTGTATTAGCCATTATTAATATCCAAAACTTGGAAAGAACTGGAGTTCTATTCGAGAAAAGCCAAATTGCATTGACACTGCTTCAGTTCAAGAAAATATATGGAGCTTCTGGTTTACAGAATTTGCATTGATCCACCTATGGATACATGGGACTCCACAATTTGTGCAATTTCTTTATACTCAACAAGTCGGCGTTCTCCATGTGCAATAATATCGATTGTTTATACAGCGATTTTCATGAGCGGAGTAATTCTTCCAAAACATGACAAGTTCCTCTAACCAGCGTAGAATTTTACAACCGTGGGCTAATGAAACCTTACTCAACTAATCTACGTGCTGGTTCACCTAGGCAAGATACTAGAAACAATCATCTAATTGACAGAAATATTAGTTGCTGATGATTAATCGAGTTCTTGAACGACTCTACTGACTGAAAAATCTGGCTTTTTCGGTTCCGGAAGAGTTCCTGTTTGACCTCCCAAAAGCGTCACTACTTCCGACATTGTCGATCTATCTCCAGGATCTTCCTGGACACACAAGTGGCCGATGTGAATGCACCTGACTATTTCAGCTGTTGAGCCTGATTCTGCTAGAGAAGGAACCGCGTGTTCCAACTCTCTTCCTTCAGTCCATAGCGTCCACGCCTGCAAGATTAAATTCATTTTGGTGTAAAATAAATTATTGGCAGACATCGAGTATTTTCAGCTCAAAACACGATTAAAAGGCAAGCTTTGATTCTTGTAAAATGAATGTAATAAACTGGTTGGTTTGTCGAATGCATAGTTGAACTGTGACCCAATCGCTTCCGAAAGATGTCTTGCTTACACAGGTCTAGCTTCGTTGTCTTTTAACCCTTCGACAATCCCTCTCACTCAGCATCGTCATACTTGCCTCACTCATGTGCCCCAACCGCATATACCATAACTAAGTCAAGTTTGAGTTTGACTCACCTGATAAATTGAAGCAAATCCTGTCATGGTTCTTCCTAGTAAATGATAGAGAAAACTCACCTTATTTCCCTTCATCATTGTCACGGCACACTAACAAATCTTCAGCACTGCACTTTCTATAGTACTTATATTAGATGCCATTGAGTGTCCCTAGAAAAATAAGGTTCTTAAGCTCAAGTATATGCCTCATGTCTCTCATGTGTGCTCTACCCCATCATGCATCCAAGCCTGAATTGTTATTATCTCCACAACTTTGCAGGATGCATTTTTCATCATCAAAAGACTATCGACATTTTGAGTCTGATAAGTAATGAAGAAGTTCTAATGAGGCGTCATATGATAAGAACACCCAAAATCTAGCACCTGTTTGTCTCCTAACGAGCTAGTAATCACACACAAGACAGTTTTCGCCTCACTAGTGCTCCCCTCGGCAACATTCACCACATTGCTTGTGTCATTTTGCCTACCACCTCCATTTAGCAGCTTTGTACAATCTCTCCTTGTACTCCTCTTCTCATGATTCAAAGCACTTCACGCGACCTTGTACTTTCTATGCCGCAACTTTAGCCTAGTTTTACCTCGGGTACTGGACCCCGATGTTCATCTCTACCTTGAATCACTAGTCCATGTTCTACATCATATGCTTGTTTATGATATCGCAACTTCTTCAACCACTCTTATAGAGCAAGGTGGATTTTACCTCTTCTGAGGTTATCACAATATGACCTTATAATAGCGAATTATAAAGTGCTCCCATGACTTTAGTAGAAATGCCAACGACATCATGCCCTGTTTTTCATCAATTAGGGCTTCGTCAATATTCTTCAAATCCTTGTGAGTTTGTTAAACTTATCTAAGTAGACACAGATGGAAGTACCTTTAGCAAATCAAAATTGAAAACATTATTTTCAACATGTATAGATGATAATTTAAACCCTTTGTTACATAAAGGGCCTAAAGTTTTACCCACAAAGCTACTACATTCTTCTTCTCAATTGCTTGTACTAACACATCACCCAATTGATTCAACAAGATTATACTCTTCATTTGCTCCATCAACTCTACCTTATAGCCTCTTTCATCATTTCTAACAATTCATCTTAATCATCCAACACCGTTGCTAAACTTTGGGCTGTTAATTGCACACGCATCTTAATGCTCCACAACCCAAAGTTGTTCTTGCTGTTAAAGTTCTCAATTTCTATTTTCGCTTCAGAAATAATTACAACAAACATTTCACAATGATTAGACAAGTAAAAGCCCCAAATTAAATCTAAAAATCCTTGTCTTAGCTTTGATGCCAATTGCAGTAAAAATAATGTAGAAGCTAACCGATCTTGTAATTTAAGTCAAACGTGAGAGAGCAAAATTACTAGAGAAATCAATAAGAAACAATAAGGACACTAGAGATTTCCATAGTTTGGTTCGAGTGTAAGTACCTACTTCATGGGGAAAGCTTGCTGCCAAGAAATCCACTATAAATTTGGAGAGTACAAAGTTTACAATCGCTCAAATGTTCATTTGTTCCCAGCCACTGACTACAATCAAAGAAAACCTACAAGTGTTATCTCACAATCTCTTACGAAGAACTCACACAGAAAACTCACAGACATTAAATCCTAACATGCTTCTTGTTTGTTCTAGTTTGTGTCTATCGAGTAGAATTCTATTACCTATATGAACATGATAATTGAATCCAACATAATAAAACTTCTTTCAGAAAATCTACTCAAACCAAAAAACCTACCCAAATTAGGAAATTTACTTGAATCGGGTTTCTTTTACAAACTCAAGACGTTTTTAACATGAACATTTAAAATATGAAATTCGACATATTTAAAAGGTACAAAACGTGTGAAAAATGATAGTTTAAATCATGAAATTTCTTACGGGAAGGTCAGAAGAGATGTTTACAAGTCAAGACAAACCAGCGTGAGATTATCCTTAAAGTAAAAAACATTGAGGTCCATTCAGTAACGTATTAAAGCGACAGGAGTTGGATTAGTAACGCCATCGATATTCAAGGGACTTGCGAATAAGATGGACGGTGAGGATGGAAGAAGCATTAGCCCTCGTATGAGTTCATTGAAAAGTCAATTGCGTGAGTTGCGTTCTTCTTTGGTTTCAACGGGGAGACTGGAAGATGAAGAAGAAGAAGAAAAGTCAAGATATGTATCCCAGTGATGTAGTTGTAAAGAGAGAGAGAGAGAGAGAGAGGAGATGGGGATGAAAGTGATTTTGGTGACGCTTAGAGCCTTGAATTTTCCATCAGATTACGGCAACGGAGTAATTCTTTTGATAGATTAAATTTGATACATACGAATTTATGCAACAAGGCCTAAGCAAGGATTGGACCCATCCGAAACGTTTCGCTTGAGTTTCTCTTTTTTATTTGGGGAAGAAAATGAAATTGATTTTTTTTCTAGGTCGTTGTGTAACTCTTTAGCCTAATTCACTCGAAGTATTACCCACTTTAATCCATTATATTCCGACATCACGGTTTTGTCTCTAGGAGGCCACCCATGTTGATAGGGTCCCAATTAGACACATTTAACATTGGATTTCGGACGCTAAACCATGGTTCAATCAAACTGTGCCTCTTATGAATTAATTCCAAATTCACACACTTCTATAACAA